CACATTGAATAAAAATATGTGCCTTTACACAAAGTTGTTGTAGATAATTAATATCAAAAATGTTACTGAACTGTAATATTGCTTCTGCTTCAAATGCTAAGTTTATCAGAACAATTCAATAAAAATTAATACATATTTTTTTAAAAAAATGTGATTTTCTGAATAAGAAGAAAAGCAGTTGAGACTGATTTTACATCAATTGAGACTGACTTTAATTTGCATATTATAGGTTGAGAGTTTGATTTTTCAACAAATATTTTATCATAAGCACAGAGATACGAAAGTTTGAAATTAGTGGGGACAATAAATTTATTTAATATGCCTCATAAAATTTAGTTATCCTAACCTATTACTATTGTTAGTTGCTTAGCAAGCGAACAACATAAATTTTTATGTTATTCTGAACACTACTTAAACAAGACAAGGTAACATATTTCACGGGTAACAAACTTTTCACATAAACATTATGAAGAGATTTCCTGAGACTGTTTGTATATTAGACACTTTAACACAAACTGCTGAAATAACTTTTAAACTAAAGTTTCAAATGCCTATTCACGAGTTCAAGTAAATTCTAAATAATACTTTCAATGACAGTGTCCGTCTCTAGATTTATAATAAAGATTTCCTTATGTATAAAGATAATGGCGCCATATGAACAAGATCTGTAACAGGTAAACAGTTTATAGAAATTACGCTTTTACATTATTCTTCCCTATACATTGCCAATGTCTTTTCGATAAACATTGTGTAAGTATCTTAGAGCAAACGAACTAAAATCAATGATTATATTTCACTTATATTAAAGCAAGTATTGCTATATAACATGATGCACAAATTTCGAGTACGTTTTTCTGATTTGGATGATTGACACCTGATTTAGTGTAGTAAAGTGAGATGAGATCTTTGGTTAAGCTTATAGCTTTCTATTTTCATTAATAAGGTGAAGCTAGATTGGCGATCGATATGGGCTGCAGGTGGCGTAGAGCAGAACTCTCTGCCTATGGCAACACATCGCATGTTTTCCCCATTGGCATGTGGGGCCTCCATGGCGGAGCGATATCGCGCGCCAAACGCTCTGCTAAGTGTGGAGGTGGCGCGTTCGAATCCTGCTGTAACCCTGGATGTATTCTTTGTGATGTCCTTTTCTGTATAGTGCTATCTGTGTCTTTCTACTTGACAAAGGTTTATAAGCCTTAAAGAGTACACAAGCCTGCAAATGTATGTTATACCTATACCCAGTAGCGTGTGGAGAGTCATAGAGGTTGGAAGTATGTTGGTTTCTCTCTTGATTTTGATATAGATCTTTTAAGTTGGAAAACTATATGAAACTGAAAACTACATTACATTTAGTTCTAAAGAAAAGCATCACGGAAGTTTAGAAAAATAATTTTATTAAATAAAAAGGAAAAATATTAAATAAAGGGAAAATATCGTAGTATACATTCCTATGGATGGTGTTTTCTACACTAGGGAGAAATAGTTTTCTTACTTCTACACAACTGGCTGTTAAAATTACAACACCAGGAAGGAATGCTAACAACAGAATATTTACTAGACACGTACATTATATTTGGAAGAACAAATGATAAAATTTTCAGGATATTTAAATTAAAAAATGATAAAATAAAATTTTACCTGCTTAAAACTAAATGATTCCGATACTTTATTTATTTTAAATCATTTATTTCTTAATTCATTTGAAAAATATTAACAAAAAAATGAATTCTAATTACAGTTTTAAGACATTGTATAAAACACTCTGATAAAGAGATATAACTTTTATGTTACACAGTTTTAAGTTTTATCAAATACAGCTAAAATTTGATCACAGACTAATTTTTATAAAAAATTGTTTATTCTAATTGTAACATATGCAAGAAGTATTCTGAAAATGTATACAACAGTTGGCTGTTAAACAGAATGTCATGGCAAGAAAACCTAACATTCAGCCAATTATAGCCACCATTAGTAAAGTCTCTACTTTTAAGTCTCATGATATTGAATGTCTTATATCCAATTGTATTAAAAGAAAAAAAATCACAAATAGATTTGATATTAAAAGCTCTGGATAAGACAGTTAAAATACTTTTCTATAAAAATTGTTAAATAAAGTTAGACAATGAGATTAATAACAAAAATTAAAATAATAGTGAACAGATCATTTGAACATTATCTGTATAAACTTACAACGAAAATGAATTAGTCAGTAGTATGAACAGAACAGTGAGCATAAAAATATTTACCCGTATTCACCATGGAAACTAACCCTTAGGTTTTATGAAAGCAATTCCAGGTTAGATTCCATAATTTCATTTCACCATGCACGTAACTGCGTCTCAGTTGGACCTAGAGTTAACTAACTTTAACCTGAAGATTTTCCTGGTTTGAGCAACCACTCGTGCGCAGTAGGCGAATTTTTATTTATTCATGTGTTCAAAATTAACATTTTTGATGTTCGGTTGCTTATTTTTAATGTTCAGTGAGGTCAAGTTATTACTAGATGTAACTACAATTAATTTNTAGAGTTAACTAACTTTAACCTGAAGATTTTCCTGGTTTGAGCAACCACTTGTGAGCAGTAGGCGAATTTTTATTTATTCATGTGTTCAAAATTAACATTTTTGATGTTCGGTTGCTTATTTTTAATGTTCAGTGAGGTCAAGTTATTACTAGATGTAACTATAATTAATTTATATCAAATAAATGCTTATTAATAAAATGGATATTAAGTTTTCCTGATTTAATATGTTCCATAGAAGATATTATATATATTTCTCAAATTGTTATTACCAGTCGTTGCTGCACCTAAATTATTTTTCACTCAGAAAAAAAATCGTGGATAATACAGATCGTGTTCATAATAATAATTCACAAGACTAGTGTAAGAAATTAAGATTCTAAATAATTTAACTAGCTTTCCTTTATTTTTTTAAATGAAAAAAAAAAAAACAAAAAAAACAGTCGATGCTTGAAAGAAATATAAAAAAGAATACAATTCATAAAATGATAGATATTATCTTGGATTGATAGATATTACCTTGATAATATCTATCCAGATGATAGATCTTGCCCAAAAATAAAATAGTTTAGAGATGAACAGGCAAAATAATTTGCAATATTTAGATATAAAGATAACATAAAAAATGTTTTAGATTAAATTTTTTTTTATCCTTAACATAAAACTATTTATAAAATTAAAAACATATACAGTATTTTTAATACACATTAAAACTTATGCTGAAATAAATACATACCCTCCAACTTATGATTATTTTGAAAATAATTCTTTCTAGCGGTAGCGAACCAAAGTAAAAATTTTTAAAGCATCATAAAACTTTTATCAGAACTTAAGAATATAGCCATATGGCCTGCACTTTTATAAAAAATAGTGGACAAGTTACGCTAAAATTAATTTTTTTTAAATATTAAGACATTAATTAAAGAAGATATCTGAAACTACGGAAATTCCGTAGCAGTTGGAGGGTATGTAAATATTATGTAATCAATACAAATCTTGATCCGAGGTAGCATTTAAACTACACAATAATCTGCATAAAATAAATTTAATAACCATTTAGAATTTTACAACCATAAAATAATCAGCTGAACATTTGGAAAAAATAGAATCGTTTGGGAGAGATTAATTACTTAATGCAACATGAAGTTAAAATGGAGACTTTCAATAAATTTTTTTTTTAAATATATGGCCCGGTCACCTTATGACCAGTGGTGCCACTCTAAAAACATTTCAAGACTAACTTATTTTTTGACCAAATAATGCTGTCTAGCGTTGTTTACTAAACTTCTTGAGCAGATTTAGATTCAGCAATAGTACAAATTTAATTACACAAATAGATAAAGTTCAATCAATCCCATTTGTCAAGAATTTAAGAATAAAATTTAGTGAAGCTGACAAAAAGAAGATAGATAATAAAAGTCTTGACATCATTACCATATCATATGTTTTCATTAAGATATTTTATTATTTTTATTTTGACCAAAATTTTTTTTAATTTTCTAATGAAAAATGCATCAGATTATGACATTTGCCTTTAAAAAAATCGTCATCTTATTAATCATACCCTCTACGGTGATTCTCGATATCATCCGCAGATGACAGCACAATAGTTATTTATAACTTCTGAATAATAGGAATGTCGTGATTTATGCTTATCTGAGCTGAGAAGTTTATTTTATACAATTTCATTTATAGTGTTTAAAATATGAAAATTCTTTTCAATGGTTTAAGTTATCGACAATATGTTATGAAGGAAAAAAAATTATTAAATATGTGCAAATAAGAATGAGGA